AATAATAATAAAATAATAATAATAATATACTGAAGCAAATCAAACATATATAACAGTGGGTGCATAATTTCCATAGGTTACGTTGCTATGTAACTCTTCTCTGTATACGCGCTCAGTCCATGACGGCCAGAAAAAAAACCCCTAGGATTTAGAAGACCATTTCTAATGCTGAAAAGTGGAAACAAGCGTGAGGTGGAAATTGATTGTGTTTCTGCTTTTGGCTTGAACCACTTTGAACACCTTCGACTACCACGTTGTTCAGGCCTGGAACAGGCTTAATGCTCCACCGTGTGGCAAACGCAAGAACATCTACTGAGAAAAAAACAATAAATCAACGTCTCCTCTGCATCTCCTCCGACTATTTCATACGAAATTCACATCATTTTTCTTCCAGTTATTGGCTGTGGTATCCAAGGGCCTCCCCCCCCACTGCCCCCATTTCCAGCTCAGAGAACAAACACAGCGACTATCACAGATATACAAGAACAAGCTCACGCACACCAATACAAAAGGTAACATTAATGCTTAAATGAAAAAGGGTCCTCTCCAAATAAATCATTAAAATATTAAAAAAATCATTTTTGAAAAAATCTATAATACCAAAAGATCTAATAAAGTAGTAAGGCACTCAAATCAGTATATACTGTAGTCTCTTGCATTATTATACTGAAAGGCATATGGCACCACATCCAGTCTGCCATACTCTCCCCATAGCTGTAGGTTGCTCTTTCAAAACAAGACTCCAGAAACCTTGCTCTGCTGGCTTCAGTTTGCCTGCTGGGATGGGTCCAACCTCCAAGCAAGTCATTCCACCCCCAAGAGCTGAGGTGCACTGTCTGCAGAGGCAAGGATGTGACTGATGGGAGATGGGGTGTTGTGCATCTCCAGCAAGTCTTGGATGAAACCTGAGGGTCTCTCGTGCTCGGAGCTACCCCGAGGTTCCTGGTCTTTTGTGGTCTGTTTCTGCACGCTCTTGGTGGGCTCCACGAGGCAGGTGCTGCTCCTCTCTTCTCCGCAGGGGGAGTCCATGACCGTGTCGGCCAGGGACTCGTTTCGGCTTCCCATGAGGGGTGTCTGGCTGCCGACGCCCCCCGCGGAGTCGCACTCGTTTTCTGAGATGGGGTTGGCGCCGCTGTGGCTAGACTCATTTTCACTGTCTTCTTCACACCTCGACTGGGTCTCCTCCTTGTCGCTCTCCTTCCCATGGTTTCGGGCATTTTTGACTTTCTGGTGTATGCGCTGGTGACGCACCAGGCTGTGCTTCAGAGTGAAGGTCCGTTCACAGGTTTGACACTTGTAAGGTCTCTCACCTACAAGAGAATTAAAGCACAGTCAGTCACAAGGTCACAAACGTACCTCCCTCTTGTTTCAAGCACTGCAAAACACTCTGCACTTTGGAAATTCAGGGCCTACATCAGACATAGGTGTTGCATTTATGTAGATTTTTTCCTTCTGTACTAGCAAACTATCTGATGGCATGCAACCAGGAATACAGGTATTTACAAAGCTGTTGGTGTTCCTCAGCCCACTGAATGCTTTAGGACAGGAGCGACGTATGAAACCTCTGAAAAACCTCTTTCACACCCATTCCAGAAATGCTACTTGCAGGGCAAAATTCTTCCTCTTATTTTGCAATCTTAAGCTGCAGAACATCTGCAGGCATCCTCTGCCACAATCAGCAGGTAGTTTGCTCTGGTCTCAGAGCTGCTTCTTGCACCCAAGACACTTGACTACTTTCCTAAGCAGGAGCTCACCAGAAAACAAAGCAACCACAACCCCACAGACAAAATCCCCCCCAAAGTCCCAACCAAGCACAGTGTCCCAAGGTGCTGTCTGCTCTGACGAACTGAAGGTCCCACTTGGACCCATCTGCCCTTTCCAACTGCACCTCTTAAAGATTTTCAGTGCTGCAATTCCATCAAGACACCATATTGTGCAAAAGACCATCAGAACCAGACACCTGCAGCTCATTGCTCACTGGTAATAATCCTTGGGATCACAAAAAGGAAACCCATTACAAACTTGTGGTGACTGGCTGAAATGTGCAAGTAGGTCCTGCTGTCCTTGGGAAACTTCATGTTCCTTAGACATGCTTCTCTCCAGTGCCCTGCTCAGGCAACTGCTATCAAGGCAAATGCTCTCCAGGAGCATTTTTGGCCAACAGCCTTTGCCCACCTGGCACCTGACTGTGGCCGATGCAACCTGCACTGGGAGAATGAAAAATTTCCAGCACAACTGCCATGCAGTAGGCAGGCAGATGTTCCTAGCACACTCTGGCATGTTCCAAATGTTCCTCTTCTGACTGAGCAAACTCCCAAACCTTATAGTTACCTTTCAAAAACCACCCACATTAAAACTGAAGTATAAGCAATGTGCAACCTGACGGTATTTTGTTGGTGTAGCCCAACAAGTAGGAAGGAGAGAAGGAGGAGAGTCAACTCACAGTATGGGCACAAAACAAACCCTCAGCTGAAGAAGCATTGATCTGACAGTGGGGGTAGGTGGTATTTACATTTATAAATTTGAAGAAAGCACTGTCCCAAGTTCCTACTCTACACCTATTCTATGTTAAAACAGCCTTCAGTGTCAAATAAGAAAGAGAAACAGGAAAAAAACCCACACCGAGGAGGCTCAGCATACAATGGAAACAGTCAAAACAATCTCCATGGGTACACATCATCTGGGGGTAGAGCTCAGTACTTTAGATATCAGCACCTTCCCAAAGCTTCTGCACTTGTATGCAAATAGGCACAAGAATGGGATCTGTCCCGTTTCACTTGTGGCTCAATGCCAGAAGCAAACAGATCAATTTTGCACTCAATAAGTCAACATTTATGATTTAGAAGGGTGGAAGTCTAGTTCAGGTATTACTCTGGTGTAGTTTACTAAAAATCACTGTCAACTGCAGCACACATATTTTGTTAACTGCAAAGATCTTGTCTTCAGCAGAGATCACCTTCAAAAGATACGGTATGTCAAACTGCACTCATTTTCCAACCTCAGAGCAGCTTGCTGGCAGGTAAAATACATAATTAATAAGGATATATTAATAATGATGAATGATTAATTCACCTTTGAGCTGGCTCCTGGCTTCACCTCGTTTGCAAGGCACTGCTGCAATCTGTGTGTGACATAATGCAATCCCACTGCCAGTCCAGTCACTGGACAAGCATCGGACACCTGTGTTCCACCTTCCCTGACCAAGTGCTCACTGTAGCTTTGCCTTTCACCCAAGCAGCAGGTCATGTGGACCACCAGCATGTTACCCATATTAGGCTCAGATAATCAGACAAAATCAGACTCTCTTTCTCTCTAAACTTTCACTCAGGGATGAAGTCTTATCACATACGGACAAGTTTCTCCACTGCTCATCAAAAGATTGGGAAGAGGGAAAGCCACACACACATGACAAGAAGGGAGTCAGAACCTGGACAGAACAACTGCCTGGAGTTCTCCACACTTGCCCTCACCTCTAAACTCTGTGTGTGGGGAAAACCAGTTTGGGAATTGAAGATAAGGCAGTGGTGACAATTCCTGCTCCCTCCACAAAGGCTTTGTAGGCAGCATGGGGGGTTGGGGCAGAGAAGGCACCTTGCAGATACCTGTAGGGCTAAAAGCAGTGTCTCCAACTGCAAGTGCTACTAGCAATAATGCTGCACCTACAGAGCAGATGCCTCAGTCTAGGGACAGAGCTGCTTATGATCTGTTCTACCCTCAAGCCTCCTCTTACCTGTATGAGACCGCATATGTCGCGTCAAATCTTGCAGAGACCAGAAACGCTTGTTGCACACAGTACAGACTTTCTTTCTTTTGTCTGCTTTTGCAGTACTCTTAGCCTCATCAGTCTTTGGTTTATTGTCATCACTGCTCTTCTCAGTGGACTTTCTCTCTGTGCCTTCCCCCTCAGAGATGCTTTCGCTCTCTTCATTCTCCTTTCCTGTTGCCTCACAGTCCACAGGAGACTCCACTACCTTCAAGTCCATCGGAGACTCTTCCTGCTCAAGACCAGAGTCCTGCATCGAGGGAGCTCCTGCACCATCCTGAATGCTTTTGCTTTCATCCTCACTGCTCCTTTCATCCTTTCTGTCCTCACGAATGTGGGCCTTTTTGTGACGGCTAAGAGTGCCAGCAAACTTGAAGGTTTTGCCACAAATGTCACAGGCATGTTTCCTTTCAGTCTGAGCACTGCTGCCTGCGCTCTGGTCACTCTCTGCCAGCTTGAAGTCCATTAATTTGCTGGCAAAATTGAGGTCAAGACTTTTGTTACTTACGGAATCTTCCTCAGGGCCCTCTTCATATCCATCCACTTTTTCTTCAGCATCCTCTTCCGCCAGAAGGGAGTCAGCCTTTTGCTCCTCCTTGGGGCCGCACTCACTCTCTGGTAGCTCTGTTATTTCCTCTGACTGTTGTTCCTTCTCGCAGTAGGTCAGGTTCAAGACTTCGTTTCCTGCAGCTAGTGTCTCTGCATCAGCCTGGCTGTCTGCAAGCAAACAGAGAGAAACTTTCAGAGGGATGCTCTCTGATCATTCCCATCTAACAGCAGCAGGGCCACGCACGGACCCATGAGCATTGCTTCTGATCAAGAGTCCCAACATCTGTTTCTCTTATCTGTGACCCAGGCCAGTAATTTACAGCTGAAATGAGATCAAAACACCATAGGACCCAATTAACAATATGATACAAAATCTGTAACAAAATGCTTTCTTTTCCAAAATAACACGCACAATCTTGGCAGTTTCTTGAAATAGTTTTTAATGTAATCACTTTTACCAGAGAACACAAAATGCTGAGACACCAAAGAAGAGTTGAGGTCACTTCTATCACAAATACACTGTTCCAGAGTCACATGAATGTGTTATTTATAAACTTGTGTGTGAAGAATATGGACACAGATTGAAGCAATATACACTCACATATTAATAAAACTAGTTTATTTGTAGCAGAAAATGCTTTTCAAAAGGAATATAAAGGCCTCGTGCAACCCACTGGTACAATAAAATCTTAAAGGTTAGTGCAGACTAACACAGAATTTGGTTTTAAAAGTTCAGTATACACCATAAAAGCAAAAGATGCAGAAGTTCATGCACACCTGGGTCTCTGACACACCACTTGGAACCAAACCATAAAGCCAAGCGAAGTACCAGGCAGTGCCTTTCGCTGTTCCACAATGACTCCAGCAAAAAGGCAAAAATCACCTAAGACATGGTCCTTAATGACATCCTCTGCTTCCTTACCAGTCTGTAGCATTAATGTTGTTGAAGACATAACAGAGGCCCAAAAGATTAAAACAGGTAAGGTGCTTAAGGAGAACAGAGGGCTAGAGCTGTACCCCATCCAAGCTCTACACAAACAGTGTACTTGTAAATAGGAAACAAGCTGGGCTGGCTATGGAGGCCAAAGCTGCCGATGATGCATGGCATGTAACTGCATCCCCACCACCCCCTCCCAGTAACTGTTCCAGGACATGAACTTTGCAAGCTGTGCTTTCTGAAAGTTGAAACTTTGCTTTGCTTTAAGTCCTCCACCCCACCTCCTTCTTGCTGACAGCATGCAGCTAAGGGAGCCCACAACCTACCCGTCATTTCAACATTCACCTGCAAGCCTGATAGACACTGAGTAACTACAGGGATTTAGAAAATCTAGAAGAGCAGTTTAAGTTCTCTGTTTGACACAGTACAACTCCTGCTTGTCTCCAAATTGCCTAGATTTCCTATTACAGGCTATTTTTCATGAGGAGGGAGTAATGGCAGAAGATAAGAAGATAGTTCTCAGGCACTTAGTAGCCTGAATGCAGTCTTGCAACATGACTAGCATTGACCCCATCTCCTCACACTAGTGATAATAAATGGCCATTAAACAAATGTCAATGTGTAACAGCATTTCTGGTGATAGTGAACAATCACTAAATAGTGTGTAATCCTCAACATGCTTTTTCTTGGGGGGTTGGAAGGGGGAGAAGTGACCTGTCAAAAAAATAATCTCACCTTTTAATCAAAACAGATCCATTTACACACAGTGGATTACACAAAAGCCTTCCACAAAGTTCATTGCTCATCTAATTATCTACCCATTAAAACACACAAGCAAGCCATAATTTGTGTATAATGCTGGAGAATTTGAGGATGGGGACATCTGAAAACAGAGGTCACCTACCACTGCCCTGTGAATTGCCATTTGAATTTTCTGTTTTGACTCATTCTCTCATAGCTCTATTAGGGCAGAACAAAAAAAAACAAAACAAAACAAAACAAAACAAAAAAAAAAAACAAAACAAAAAAAAAAAAAAACCAAAAAAAAAAAAACCAAAAAAAAAAAAACCAAAAAAAAAAAAACCCAAAAAAAAAAAAGAAAGCCACTATAAACACAAAAAGGTCACTTCTAAAAATCATTATGATTTAGGGAAGCACTGCTCCGCAACTCAGAGAAACAGGACCAGGCATGGATGAGCAGCCAAGCCCATGCATGGTGCTCCTGGTTACACACAGGTAGTTGGGTCTCCCAGCTGCTGGCACCAGCAAGGGAGCGAGCCCAGAAGCCAAATCCAGGCCCTGTCTACACAGGGGAGATGTTTAAAAAGGAAGGCTCCTGCCGGCAGCCTTCTTCCCTAAGCTCATCTGGCTCCCCCACCAGCAGTGTCCCACCTTGGCCCACGAGCAGGGATGAAAGCAAGGATTAATGGCAAGCTGTGTGACTCCCTGTCACTGTGGGAAAGGTCCTTGACTTTTTCCTTGGCTATCCACTTCTACCCCAGTCCTTGCACAGCCCTAAAATTTACCTATGGTCTTTCTCACCAGAGCACAGGTTTATGCTGGACTGAAGCAACCCTGTAATCACTGCTCCCTTCAGGCTAGGGGCAGGAGGGAAGGGAAACAACAGTGAGTTTCCTCCACAGCTGCCTTTGCCTGATACCAAAAATGTGCTAGTGGAAGATGGGCAGAGACAAAAATGAAGCAACAAAGTAGGTCCAGGGCACAAAGACCTTGAAGTGACACCAACAGAAAGCACCTAAACTGGTGTGGGATGGCAGGTGTGGGATTCCCTGTCTCATCCCCTGAGAGGTCAGGAAAAGTTCTGATGGGATGCATGTTAGGCCAAAGAAAGACTGCAAGCACAGCACAGAGGAGGTTTGTTAGGGAGTGAGGCAGGAAACTGCGTGAGCTCTATTAGGATGGGGATGAGTGAAGAGCACGAGGAAACCAAGATGGGAGAAATATCCTCCTTCATTGTAGCCAGGGAGATGTTCTGTAACTCTTTACTGGTCAAACAGAAGGCAGAGGATGCAGAATAAGTTTCTTCCTGTTTTTTCAATAGGAAGTATAAGGAGCAAAATGAACAAGGTCGCACTCAAGTAAGAGCCGAACCCAGCATGTCTTAAAATTCACAATACAAAAGTCCCAACTTTTACGTTCAATATGCTATGTATCATGCATGATTTTCCAATTTTCCCCTAACTTTTTCTTCTTAGCTTCCAGTATTTTCAAAAATATATCTTTTTAGAGTATATTTGTTCTTCAGTGAATTGTACTCAAACCCTATCTCCTTTTTTCCTCTCCTCTGTGCCTGGGCCCCTTCCCAGCTGTCACTCTGTTCTTGTGTGGCTGGCCTGGAACTATGTTTTCCTGTGCACAAAGAGATATGCTTCAAGGGATAAATGGTCCACAGGTAAGTGATGTTGCCTTACTAGCACAGGCAAACAGATTAGGTTGACCCCAAGGAAAACAAACTCAAAGTTTAAACAACGTGCCTTCATGAAGGGCAAAGACCACTCCAGACCCTGGGAACATGGATCTACACAGGCTTTCTCTTCTGAAGCCAGGCTCTGCCCTGAATGAACTCAAACCTGAGGCAGTGACACAGCTAGGAACATGTGACATGCTTATGTGCTTGGGCGAGCGCTCTTCCTTCTTACCTGCACAAACCAGACCTGCTGTTTTCTTTGCTGCAAATGAGTTCCACAGGCCCCTTATACTCCATGCCTGTACTTCATGTAAAGTGGCAGATACTGACTATCTGAGCTGCTCTGTTGTTATCCCCAGCCTGTGCAGTTGGTTTTGCAGTTGGTGAAGAAGTGAGTTGCCCTGCACAAATCCCAGTTGTTTGGGGTTGGGTGAGAATCAGCCCAGTTTTGCTTCTGATGAACTGAAATAGCAGCAGGTGAGCTGCGAAGGTGTGTGGGAACACAACAGTTGTGAAGACAGTTGTGTCAGGTCTGATGTGGGACTTCTCTTGCAGTGTAAGGGATGGCAGCAAGGATAGTCTTGCACTGGCAGCTGCTTCATCCACTCCAGAAGAGGTTAGGCTTGGTCTATGCTATTCTTACTTCCCACTTATATGCCTATCTGCAGCAACAGAAACCCTGCTGGCCACACAATTCCAGCAGGCTTGTATCTTACACAAGGAAGAGGATTTTGACTGAGCCTTCAGATGTGGGAAAACATCCCTCCAGCAAGGCTGAGCTCCTCTCAGATGGGTAATTCCCATTTCCAGAATTTTGCTGATTTATGTTGCGGAGCAGTCACTTGCATCCAGGCAGTGAAGGAAACAGGATGCACAGGAAAGGCCTGTTGTTTCTTCCACCCCTTTCCCATCTTTCACTTACTAGGGTTGTAAAATGCTTTCCGGTCCATTTGTTATCCCACAGACATTTACACTCGGTGAATCAAGAGGACAAGAGCAGAGAAGTCTGGCTCCCACCCACTGCCACTTCTCCAGCAACCGTGGGAGCAGAATCCTTGGCATGGACAACCAGAGTTCGTGTCACTCCTCCAAAATGAAGATAAGAAGGTGACATTATTTGATGATGTCAATTCTGACACCAGAGTATAAAATTATGTGCTAGGTAAGGGAGAGGGAGGAGACGAGCAGGGAGGTAAGGACGTAAGGAAGTAGGCAACACAAAACAACCACCAGTAGCTCAGCTGCTGCTTCGTCAGCTCCTGGGAAAAAGAAAACTTCTCATGAGATATATTCATAACCAAAACCTCAAGGACTCCATCTGAGAATCCAAAAACTTTTCCGCTTGCATGAAAGAAACCACTACGTAGTTGTAGCCAAAATCATTTTCCCTTCGAACTGTGGAAAGAAAAGACTGTTTTGCTGAAGTCTATTTACAATTCAAGCTGCAGTCTTTGGTCAGTCCAGTCAGAAGAATCTGCCTAATCTCTTATAGGTGGCAAGAAAGGAGAAAGAGGAGGAAACTGCTTCCCTGCTCACCCAAACCAAATTATGAAGAGAGACACCAAATGTGGAAAACTTCAGATAAAATAGAAGATACAGACTAGAGTGGGGAGCTTGTTGGTTTGATTCTTTTTTCCTGTGGTTTTCTTTTTTCCTGGAACTATGATGGAATGAAGAGTAGAGCTTGAAATGCTACTTAACTATTAGATAAAACAGGGTCTTGTAATGAAAACTATTTCGTGGCTAAAGCAAGTGTTTATTGACAAACATTTGTGACATCCCAGGAGAAGTGTTAGAAAAGCC